TGTGTTGTGACAAGGTATGGGGGTATACAGAAGATAGCCCTATTTGGTAAAATACCAAGTCCATATTATGGCAAGAACAGCTCAAATAAGCAAAGAGAAACGACAGTCCATCATTACTTTAAGATATGAAGGTCAGTCAATACGGAACATTTCAAGAACTTTGAACGTTTCTTCAAGTGCAGTTGCAAAAACCATCAAGCGCTATGGTGAAACTGGCTCTCAGGAGGGCCGCCACAGGAATGGAAGACCCAGAGTTACCTCTGCTGCAGAGGATAAGTTCATTAGAGTTACCAGCCTCAGAAATTGCAGCCCAAATAAATGCTTCACAGAGTTCAAGTCACAGACACATCTCAACATCAACTGTTCAGAGGGGACTGTGTGAATCAGGCCTTCATGGTCGAATTGCTGCAAAGAAACCACTACTTAAGGACACCAATAAGAAGAAGAGTCCAAATTGGAGATTTTTGGTTCCAACTGCCATATCTTTGTGAGACGTGGTGTTGGTGAATGGATGATCTCTGCATGTGTAGTTCCCACCGTAAAGCATGGAGGAGGAGGTGTTATGGTGTGGGGGTGCTTTGCTGGTGACACTGTTTGTGATTCATTTATAATTCAAGGCACACTTAACCAGCATGGCTACCACAGCATTCTGCAGCAAAACACCATCCCATCTGGTTTGGGCCTAGTGGGACTATCATTTGTTTTTCAACATGACAATGACCCAACACACCTCCAGGCTGTGTTAGGGCTATTTTACCAAGAAGGTGAGTGATGGAGTGCTGCATCAGATGACCTGGCCTCCACAATCCCCCGACCTCAACCCAACTGATATGGTTTGGGATGAGTCGGACGGCATAGTGAAATGTAGAAAATAGTTTTTTTTTAAAGTAACTTGAATGAGTAGGTGTGTCCAAAATGTTGACTGGGAACTATAGTTGACAAACAAATGGCCAACCAAATGTTGAAAAATTATAAACAGAAACTTGTCTAAATTAGGGGTGAATAAAGTAACCAGTAGGCTATACGGTCCAGTACAGAGTATCAGCAAAATAAATTATTATGTTGGATCAAACTGCGAGGTAGCCTACTTTTTGACGTGATTTATTTGACAATCAGATGAAAACATCATCACACAACACCCATGATAACTGAGCCTGCGCAGACCACGAAAAACAGTAAATTGTGCAAGTTCTCCCACTTAAAAATATGAGAGAGGCCTGTAATTTTCATCATAGGTACACGTCAACTATGACAGACAAAATGAGGAAAAACAATCCAGAAAATCACATTGTAGGATTTTTAATGAATTTATTTGCAAATTATGGTGGAAAATAAGTATTTGGTCAATAACAAGTTTCTCAATACTTTGTTATATATCCTTTGTTGGCAATGACACAGGTCAAACGTTTTCTGTAAGTCTTCACAAGGTTTTCACACACTGTTGCTGGTATTTTGGCCCATTCCTCCATGCAGATCTCCTCTAGAGCAGTGATGTTTTGGGGCTGTCGCTGGGCAACACAGACTTTCAACTCCCTCCAAAGATTTTCTATGGGGTTGAGATCTGGAGACTGGCTAGGCCACTCCAGGACCTTGAAATGCTTCTTACGAAGCCACTCCTTTGTTGCCCGGGCGGTGTGTTTGGGATCATTGTCATGCTGAAAGACCCAGCCACGTTTCATCTTCAATGCCCTTGCTGATGGAAGGATGTTTTCACTCAAAATCTCATGATACATGGCCCCATTCATTCTTTCCTTTACACGGATCAGTCGTCCTGGTCCCTTTGCAGAAAAACAGCCCCAAAGCATGATGTTTCCACCCCCATGCTTCACAGTAGGTATGGTGTTCTTTGGATGCAACTCAGCATTCTTTGTCCTCCAAACACGACGTGTTGAGTTTTTACCAAAAAGTTCTATTTTGGTTTCATCTGACCATATGACAATCTCCCAATCCTCTTCTGGATCATCCAAATGCACTCTAGCAAACTTCAGACGGGCCTGGACATGTACTGGCTTAAGCAGGGGGACACGTCTGGCACTGCAGGATTTGAGTCCCTGGCGGCGTAGTGTGTTACTGATGGTAGGCTTTGTTACTTTGGTCCCAGCTCTCTGCAGGTCATTCACTAGGTCCCCCTGTGTGGTTCTGGGATTTTTGCTCACCGTTCTTGTGATCATTTTGACCCCACGGGGTGAGATCTTGCGTGGAGCCCCAGATCGAGTGAGATTATCAGTGGTCTTGTATGTCTTCCATTTCCTAATAATTGCTCCCACAGTTGATTTCTTCAAACCAAGCTGCTTACCTATTGCAGATTCAGTCTTCCCAGCCTGGTGCAGGTCTACAATTTTGTTTCTGGTGTCCTTTGACAGCTCTTTGGTCTTGGCCATAGTGGAGTTTGGAGTGTGACTGTTTGAGGTTGTGGACAGGTGTCTTTTATACTGATAACAAGTTCAAACAGGTGCCATAATACAGGTAACGAGTGGAGGACAGAGGAGCCTCTTAAAGAAGAAGTTACAGGACTGTGAGAGCCAGAAATCTTGCTTGTTTGTAGGTGACCAAATACTTATTTTCCACCATAATTTGCAAATAAATTCATAAAAAATACTACAATGTGATTTTCTGGAGAAAAAAATGTTCAATTTGTCTGTCATAGTTGACGTGTACCTATGATGAAAATTACAGGCCTCTCATCTTTTTAAGTGGGAGAACTTGCACAATTGGTGGCTGACTAAATACTTTTTTTCCCCACTGTACATGCCACAGTATCCCTTCTAAGATCAGCATATTCCAGGCATCTTATTCGGGGTTCTCATAACCGGGATACAAGCTTTTTTCGGGCTATTGTAAATGGGATATTATGTTTTTATGTGTTAACTCAAAAACAGAATACTAGAGTATTCCGATTAATAACGGGATATTGGTGTACATGTAAACGTGGTCAGTGTTGTTGATCCATCCTCAGTTTTCTCATATCTCTGTACCTCACAAATACAATTATCTGTAAGGTCCCCCAGTCGAGCAGTGAATTTCAAACATAGATTCAACCACAAAGACCAGGAAGGTTGTTCAATGTCTCGCAAAGAAGGGCACCTATTGGTAGATGGGTAAAAAAAAAAGCAGACATTGAATATCCCTTTGAGCATAGTGAAGTTATTAATCACACTTTGGATGATGTATCAATACACCCAGTCACTACAAAGATACAGGTGTCCTTCCTAACTCAGTTGCCTGAGAGGAATAAAACCGCTCAGGGATTTCACTATGAGGCCAATGGTAACTTTAAAACAGTTAGAGTTTAATGGCTGTACCAGTATCTCTATACTTGTTAGTATCATGGCAAGGAAACAACACACGAAGCTGATTTAACTTCTTCCGAAAAACAGCCCTTATGTTGGATACAAACATCATTATGTCACATTAATTTATTTTCCAAGTTATAGCACACAATATTATATATACAGCAAGTTTTTAAAGGACCAATGACTTGGGTCTGCTTCTTGTTAAAACATTTTCCAAGGAAAAAATATTGCGATATTGGTATCGTCACAGCCTTACTTGCCATGCGGTGGAACTGATGTTGCCATGACGATGCCGGGAGATGTCATGCGTTGAGTGGGGCGCAGTCAACACGCTGTTACCAATAGATGGGTGAAAAAGAAGAGCGCACGTGTGTGTGTGTGTGTGTGTGTGTGTGTGTGTGTGTGTCTCCAGATCACAATAGAACACATTCATCCTTGCTCCTCTCGAATGAGTTCAATAGCTCTCAGACAGACGCAGAGCAGGCAACACATAATTACTCAATTAAAAGTCCGGACTGTAGTGGAGCAGGTCCACCCACCATGCCCTGCTGTGCTCTGAGACTAATGAAGAAGAAGTGGAGAGAGGAACCAGAAGGAGGGAGGGCACAGTGCACACCGGCATCTGGCAAACACTGAACACCCTGCATACTTATCATACTTTTACATACTACAGATGGGCAAGTATGTGTGTGTGTGTGTTGGCACAGAGTGAAGGTAAAGCAGAGTAGAGGTTATGTTTTCCTAGGGCGGATGTATTTTCTGTCTTCCTTGTCTGACACAGGCTGGTCTGTCACTAGAACAGTTCCTTACCCCATATCAACACACCAATGCCTCATCCTCATTCTTTACATACACTTATCAGCATATTTACATTTACATTTTTAGTCATTTAGCAGACGCTCTTATCCAGAGCGACTTACATATTATTATTATTTTTTTATTTTATTTTTTTATACTGGCCCCCTGTGGGAAACGAACCCACAACCCTGGCGTTGCAAACGCCATGCTCTATCAACTGAGCTACATCCCTGCCGGCCATTCCCTCCCCTACCCTGGACGACGCTGGGCCAATTGTGCGCCGCCCATGAGTCTCCCGGTCGCGGCCGGCTGCGACAGAGCCTGGATTTTTGGATATTTAATACCATATCTATTCATATCTACCCTTGTCTCCTCTTGACCTCTTGAGAAAATGAAGAGAATGTATACTGAGTATACAAAACATTAAGAACACCTGCTCTTTCCATGACATAGACTGACCAGGTGAAGCCAGGTGAAAGCTATGATCCCTTATTGATGTCAGTGTAGATGAAGGGGAGGAGACGGGTTTTAGAAGGATTTTTAAGCCTTGAGACAATTGAGACATGTATTCTGTATGTGTGCCATTCAGAGGGTGAATGGGCAAGACAAAAATATTGAATTGCCTTTGAACGGGGTATGATAGTAGGCGCACCGGTTTGTGTCAAGAAGTGCAACACTGCTGAGAGAGGCATGAGAGGGAGGCATGAGAGCAGAGGTAAAGGGCAGTGGTTGGTAGGGGATTTACAGAATGGATGAGGTGAATGTGAGAGAGAAGAAAGGGTGAGAAAAATGTATGGATAGAAAGATCTATAAATAGCTTTCGTACACTGAAATGTACAACAGACTGAGATGGAGCAAGGCTGTGAGAGACAAGGGGAAAGTGTGATAAATGGAGAGATAATGAAAGGGATGGCACTGAGCCCTCTCCACAGTGAAAACTGCTTCTGGCGTCCGCTGATGATGTCACAAGTGAGCACTCTATTGCCTCTCCTAATGGCTCTCAGAAGGAGCGTGTAGCACAAGGGGGAGCAAAGTACGGTCCGCCGGGCACTTCAATCTGGCCCGAGATATATTTTTTTACATGTATTAAATATTATTATATATGAGTTACGATTTTTGGCCTAAAATGACTCATTCCATGATATACAAACAATCTCCAATAGATGGCGCTGTAGCCTGGCAGCGCGCATTTGGGCCTACAGTCAGATTCAGAATGTGCTCAGTCATCATAGCCACTTCATTGCTTGACGACTTTTCACGTGAAAAATTTGTGCTACGAAAATGAGAACTCTGAATGCCGTGTGTTTAAAGAAGAATGGACAGCAAAATACTTTTTTACTAATATTGGACGTAAGGCGTCTGGTACTAATATTGGACGTCTGATATGCCAAGAAAGTGTTGCCGTTTTTAAGGAATATAATCTCAATCGTCATTTTTCAAACAAGCATGCTAGCTACGCTAGCAATCTGTCCTCTCAGGAAAAGACAAGGAAGGCCTCAAAACTTGCCACAAGCTTAAAAACCCAACAAAATACATTTACAAAACGGTGCTCTACTCAAGACTCTGTAACTAAGGCAAGATACGTAGTGGCACATAAAATCGCTAAGCATAGCAAGCCTTTTGCTGAAGGGGAGTTTGTGAAAGAGTGTATGGTGGAGACTGCTGGTATACTTTGTCCTGAGAGTAAAAGCCAATTCGAGAAAATTAGCTTATCACGCAGAACCATCACCAGGCGCGTGGAAGTGATAGGTGAAGAGCTAATCTCAGAGTTCTCTGTATTATTCATCAGGAAGCCCTGTATAAAAGTGTGTTAAAGCTGGAAAATGTTGTCAAAGTGGTTGTAAAACTTGTCAACTTTATACGGGCAAGGGCTTAGCCATCGTCAGTTAATTCAGCTGCTCAATGACAGAGGCAGAGCACCAGGACTTGTTGTACCATTCAAATGTTCGCTGGCCAGGCCTGGGGAAAGTATTTTGCTGTGTGTGGGAACTGAGAGGGGAGATGGGTATGTTCCTTGATACGGTTGGTAAAGCTGACGACTTATCCGAGTTGAAGGACACAGACTGGCTGGGCGACTTTGCTTTCGGTGTGGACATATTGGGGCATCTGAACAATCTAAATGTGAAACTGCAGGGAAATTGTGTTTTTGTGCATGAACTGTATTCCAACGTGAAAGCATTCAAGGCCAAACTTATGTTGTTCTCCAGACAAATGAGCAGCTGGTCTCTCGCTCATTTTCCGACACTGGCCGCACTGAACGCGCCCACATCGCAGTGCCGCACTGACACATACAGTAGCACTTTGATCAACCTGTATGCTGAATTTTACCGCCGCTTCTCAGACTTCACCAAGATTGAGACTGAGCTGGAGCTTGTATCATGCCCCCTGTCTTTCGACAGTGAGAAAGAACCACCAGACACACAATTGGAGTTCATCGACATCCAATGTGACAGTGCTTTGAAGAAGAAGTACAAAACAGCAACAATAGACCAGTTCTATGGCTCACTGAATGAAACAAAGTTTCCAAACATTAAAAAGCACGCCCAAAGGATGCTTGTTTTATTCGGGTCCACATATGTGTGTGAACAAACGTTCTCAGTCATGAATTACAACAAATCCCATCACAGGTCAAATTTAACAAATGACCACTTGTCAGCTGTTCTGAGAATCTCTACATCAAAGATGACACCAGACTTTGATGCCCTTGCCAAGAGAGGTGACCAGACCCATTGTTCACATTAAGACTCAAATAACTGTGACTGGGTAGGCAAGGATTACGCTTTTTCATGGTGATGGTTTTGCAGTGAGAATTATCCAGTAATGCACTTGGATACAGGTAATAACTAATCAGTCAGATTTGGGCAAAGGTGATTGGATAACTGTACATATGGCTCACAATGGAGATGAGAATTGTTCCTTAATATACTTTCAAAAACAGAACATTCCAAATGAAATGGCCGTTTATTTTTACACATCTGCTGTTACATTTTGCATGTCTCCAGTCATAATATACAGTGCTGCTTGAAAGTATGTGAACCTCTTGTGCAATTACAGATTTGTTCAGTTTTTACCATGAAATCTTCATTTAATCAGTATTTTTGCTCTGACATAACAGGTTTATATTTACAAATACCATATGTTGGTGTAGAGGAAATCATGCGTCTCGTACAAAAACAATGTTAAAAAGGAATTCATGCAGGTGCAAAAATAAGTGAACCCCAAGTTGCATTGGTTAAATCAAGAAGGTAAGTAGAATCAGGTGGGTAAATAATTAGCTACCAAATGAACCAATCAAAGGAGAGATCGTTAGGAAAGAGTTTGGGCAGGACTCTGATAAATAGAGATAAGAAACCTTGTCAGTTTGGGGTTACCCATCCAGGTGAATGCAAAGCACACCATGCCGAGAGGAAAGGAGAGCTCAGAAGACATCAGGATGAGGGTAGTGAGAGCCCATCAGTCAACAAGACAACGACCCAAAGCATGCAAGCAAATCTACCAAAGAATGGCTCAGGAGAAAGAAGATTTGTGTTTTGGATTGGCCAAGTCAAAGTCCTGACCTAAATCCAATCGAGATGATGTGGCAGGACCTGAAGCGGGCAGTTCATGCCAGACACCCCTCAAACCTCACTCAATTGGCTGAGCTCTGTAAGGAGTGGGCAAAAATCCCTCAAAACAGATGTCGGAGACTGATTACGGGCTATAGGAGACGATTAGTCCAAGTTATCACTGCTAATGGAGGTGCCACAAGCTATTGACTGAAGGGGTTCACATATTTTTGCACACATCAAATCTGAGTTTCTGTTAAATAAACCACTTTTGTTAAATAAAGTCATTTACTTGGAATGTCTATATTACGAATTGGGGTTTAGATTTTATGTTTATTTTAATATTTTATAGCAAAATAATGACCAACCCTGTAGGGTTCACATACTTTCAAGCAGCACTGTATATCTATTTTTAAGTTTGCATATTGTGACTGTAAGTTTGATTGTACTTTACAAGGGTAGAGATGCAGGATCTGTGTGTGTGTTTGACCGTGTCTGTGATGTTATAAATTATATCAATTGTGTGAAAAATGTGTGAGAAATGTGTTCACAAAAAACAAGGGTAGAGATGGTACAAGAGTAGAATTGTTCTGCAAGCATATGTACACCTACAGTACACTAGTAGTTGCGTGTCAATGTGAAAATGAATAAAGGCATCACATGTTTTGTCACTCATATAGTATGTGGCCCTTCACTTGGTTTCAAAAACTCAATGTGGCCCTTGAGCCAAAAGGTTCCCACCCGGTTGTAGATATTTCCCCATTATGAAGAGCATAAACCGACGCATCTGTCCTCTCCTTCAGAGATCCCACCGCGTCACCGAGCCGCTGAGAGCTATGCTGGACCTAAGTACTCGTTTGAGAGAGGCGGCCAGATGTGCAAACTGGTGGTTATTGGCGACAGGGACTCTGCTAGGAAACGGGCGCAAAATGAGACTCGGTCTTGATACGGGCCAAGGTGGACACCGGGAAAGGTGTATATCTGTTGCTCAAATCAGCGTCTGCAGGTATGTCCTTTAAACTGGAAACACACCTGTTTTGAAATCCAGTGCCTTCCTGGTCCCGGCGACTTAGCCTCACTGCTGTCACCACCCACCACACCCACGCACCGCTGACACCCCACACCCACACACCACCCACCCTACACACACACCCCACCCACACCCACAAACTAGTATTTAGCTATGACAGGGACCAGGAACCTGCGCGGCAATGACATGGCACTGGCACTTCTTGAGCTGTACTCCTCACACCCCGGCTGCTGTTTATTGATCTGCTATCCTGAGGGAATTGCGGTTGCCAAACCGGCGCTTTATTGTATTGAAGATACGTGAGCCTTGAGGATTTGGAATGAGGACGAGGAAGACTCGTGATTAGGGATTACACATTCACACACTTACAGTGCACTTCCGCTTCCTTTCAACAACAAACAAAGACTGAAAACCTCAGTGCAACCCCTCTCACCCCACTCGTACCCCCCACTGATGTCGTCCGAGTGAAGATAACACCGTACACCTCACCTTGGACAAGACCACTCCCACCCCTGGCCTTTTGCATCCCTTAAACAGACAGATATCTGTCTTGCTTTTAACCTTCCTCCTAGTTCATATAGTACATTTCTCTGTTTTTAACCTAGCTTTCTCTAACGTGCAACTAAGGCATTTGAAGCCTTGTCCATCCATTGACCATCATGCGCCTTGCTTATGAGCGCCTATAACGGATCCTGGCTCCTGCAATCTCCACCGTGTTATGGGGGCTGTCCTGGGTCACTCTTCACAGTTTAAGTCCCTTTTTGAAGGTGCCAGCATCCCCGATACCAGGTCCCCCTAGACAAATTTCGTGTCCCGCTTTGCAAAGGACCATTATCCGCTCTCTCGCTCTTTTACTCCCCTTTCCGCCAACCCTTAGGTCGGGCTACCTCTATTCAACTCTAGAGCATGTTTATTGTACTCTCAGCTATGGTTGACATCGCTCTACGTTTGGAAACGTTTGGTGTGGGAGACCCCGAGCCATGTGAGACGTCGAGCTTTTGCAGGCCTGTCATCTCTCTGTTAGCTCTGGTTTCATGTCACCCCACTCTCTGAAGGCTGTCCCCTCTCGCTTTCCCACGTGTGTAACTGTCCCCCCACTATTACACTCTTTCCATCTTCTTGTTTTCCCCTCGTTCGCCGTTTTAGAACTTTTTTCCTGGCGCGATTAGTCGTTGCATTCGCGGATTCGTCGTTTGTCAGACATTATTCTTTCTCAACGAGATCAGAGCGAGTGGGGCTTCTTTTGCTCGTCTGTTGCCCCAGAGAATCGTCATACCGTCCGATGTATCCCCTCCTCCCACTATCACCCCGCTTCCGTGGCCAAGCATGAAGCGAAGCACGGTCACTCGGTGCAATTCACCCCCGGGCCTATACTCTGCGCCACCTTGTCCAGGGGGTCTTTGTTGTGGCCACCCGTGTCAGACTCAAGTTGAGTAGCCTAGTGCCTCTTGTTCAGAAAATGATTTTCTAGCGTGCACCTCTCCCTTAGGGTGCCACCCCTATCTTGTACTTTTTCGGGCGTGTCACGCCCACACAGACCGAGCTCCTTTTTCTCTCTCCTCTGCAAATTAGCACGATCCTCAACACCACCACATACACCAACCAACTTTACCAAAGCGGCCTATGAGCGGGCTGGGGACAATCCACAGTTTCAACTACACTGCTCGTCCGCGATTGTCACAAATTACCCAGCCATCCCTATAAGGCAAACCCGAAGACGCACCGTAACTCTGGCTTAGCACAGTACATACCGCTGCCAGCCCCCAACATGGCAAAATGAGGTGTCCACCTATCTTATCGCTCATTAGCAGCATGTGGTCTGATCATTTCCAGTGACCGACTTTGTCAGAGCATTTTACCCCTTGAAAATGAGCGATGATAGGATAGGGTAGCTCAACGTTGTAAAGCGCCGGAATTAGGAATAATCATGACCACTTTTTGAATCTGCATTCCCCAGCTTCGCCAGTAGCCCCCACACCGTTGACCGGCTCCCATTTCAAACACAAGTGTCATGCTTTCAATGGATTTGCTAACCCCAACATGCTCGTTTCCCCCCGCTCCGCCCTCCCGCTTACACCGAGCAGAGAGTTTAATCAGGGTTACTTCTCCCCAGTTTCCATGCCCGGTTGCCAAATCAATCGGGGAAGAGCAAGTCCATGGTTTACAGAGGATTGGGCAGTACAACAGGATCAGAGTTCAAGCCGCCATGAGGAACGAGTAGCCTTGTCCCGTAACGTCTAGTGTCCGTGGTGAGCCAAAAGGAAGGTTTCCGGTAGTGGAAAGCCGGATGGTTTTCCCGTTGGCCGGCGTTAAGCGGAGGCAGGAGGTCAGGCTTCCAATATCTGGGTAGTCTTGACTATGATTCTGCGATGAGTGTGACGCCATTTTGTGATTCGGCAACCCCCTAAGGAAGCTGATTTGATCCCGGTGTCCCGATCTCCATGGTGACCTGATGATGACAGCCCTTTGGAACCCTTGTGGACCCCAATAACTCGCACACACTACAGATCTACCGACTCCTGCTTCTAATCAACCCCCCGGACAGGCACAGCGCCTGGGAGGGGGCCATTCTTTCAGCTTTTTTTAATGCACCCAACAGTGTTTCCTCCTTTCCGAACCGCTGACTTGGTTGCAAGCACAACGTAAGCTCTCGTCAGCAGCCACAGAGCGTGAGCAAGAATGGGCTGACACTTCTCTGAGCTCGTCAGGGTACTCGAATTCCAGTAACCCCCACGCCTGCACCAATGGCATTCTCCAGCCGGGGATGTTGACGCACCCCCTTCCCGGATGGCCGAACACGGGGGGATTCCGCCTTACTCGGGATGTGTAACCCCCTAGGAAATTCCACGACTCTGCTTTCCCCTCCCCAGATGTCTCCTTATTGGAAACACTTATTCATGTTCTGAAGCTTGCATTCCGTGGGACAGACTAAAGGTACCGTTACTAGGAGCCCTAACCCCCAATCCACCCTAGGTACTGGAAAAAACCACGACCCCGGCGGCGAAATTCCAGATAGTCGTTCCGGAGGTTATTCAAGTGTAGACAGGAACCCACCCCACGATTCCCCTGGGCTTGGACGGCCAGTGGGGACGAGAGGTGCGGGGGCACACAAGCACGTCGGTACGTTGTCGCTCACCCGTCCACACCGGTTGAATCTGGGAACACCATGAAACGGTTGGATCTTATGAACCCCCTCCGTAGGGGCATCGGAACGCAGGAGAGCAGGATTAGCCCTTCATATCGCGTCCTGCAGGGGGTTAGGTTGCGCTTGCCGGCCGACGCTGGTGATTAAAAAGATTACCTTGTCGGACAGTATCTCTACTTGAAGACGAGAAACAGTTGCCTATAAAAACGCGGTCTCCTAATCCTCCGGCGCCCCTCCCCTTCTACAGGGAATCGCTCCCAAATCTTTTCTATGATGATACTGAGTATCACCATGCCCCTTGCCAATTCAAGGTGCGACCTGACTTAAGACACTCCCCCTGTGAACAGGAGACGTGAGGTAAACGGGGAAGCTGTGTCCCGCTTGTGAGCCTGGCGTTGGCTTGCCTCTCGCAGTGACGCCGAATGCGCCTGGGACAGAGTCTCAACCCTGGCCGTTCCGCCAGACCTCCTGTATGCACGGTCGCCCGCAGCAGGTGGGGCACTGCGACCCGGATGGTAACCCGCCATTTCCCTCTCTTCGAGGACCGGGATATTCCGAGGGGAGGTTCGATAACCCAGAGCCACACCCAGACTAACGGGAGGACAAACAAGATTGGACATGGTAAGCTAACGTAGCTTCTAAACTGGGTGCCACTCGTTATGAGCATATTCCCCACCCCCATGGTCTGGTCCACTACCCGCATTGTGGAATCCGCCCCACATAGTCCCCAGGGTTAGTACCCCTGTGTGGATGACAAGCGCACTTTGGAGCCCCCCGAATGAGAGTCTGTTTGGCTTCCATTATCTCTTTCTTTATTTCCATTTATCCTGGTTTGCATCTAGCGGAGCCGTTTTGGGCTGGGGCCCCGTGTGGGGGGCCGGTGTGTCTGGGGACCCCCCCCTTTTTTTTGGTTGATATCCCCTTTTGAGCGAGAGGACATTGGACCAGGCCTGGTATGTGATGGAACCGCTAACAAAGCTTTATGCACGAACGCCTCGCATCATTACCTGGGGGCTACAACTGGGGACCCCTCGCCGAGACACTATCAGAGGTGATATTGGATGACCAGGATGAGCGGTCATGCTTTTACGGATCATGTTTCAACCAACTATCCAGCCGCCCTCTGCCTCTGGCTTGTGGGCCAGTAGTTTAGGTCCCCCCATTGAGGGCCAAACCCCACCACATGAATTCCTTGCGAACTTATGAAAAACGATCAATCACCGCCACAAGAACGCAGGCTTCCCAGATCGAGCTGGGGAAGTCCCCGTGAACACCAAATCTTTTCCCTCAGTATATGTGCGACCACGTGGCGCTGTGCGTATTGGACTTAGAGCGTCGCTGTCGTAGATGACCTCACCGGTGGGCCCTGCCCCCGGTTGGAGTTTTTTACACTTCGCGGGCATCAGACAAGTACATGACATAGCCACCTCCCAACCTGACCCCCTTTAGGTGCGTCGCATGTTCCCTCAAAGAGTGTCCGCCTCCAGCTCTCTAGGGGCCCTACCAGAACTGCTCACGTTACGCACCAACCCGTCAAGGGTCCTACCCACGACGCTCTATACACCTTCTTTTCACTACCAGCCTCTGCTACTGCGCTGCCCTGCTTCTTCCTCCGGTTTCTGGTGACACGGTAACGGGCCGAGTACGACTTTGCATCTCCCACCAGGATCTTTTGTGTTTCTTTTAAAGCACACTCAGTTGTACCTCGACACCCGATGGGCCTATCGATTCTCAAGGTCCTATTATAGGCCCGGTAAACAGCGATGCCCCAAACCTTGCGGTACGGTATGGAGGACCCCTTTCCCTATCCTGTTATTTATTCCGTCACAGCCTTGGCAGTGCGGTGCGAGCACTACGCTGTTGTTTGCTTGCCGCGACCATCCACTCTTTATCTACATGCTCTATGTTGTTAATCCACGACCTCGGCACCCCCGTCGTGGAGCACCCTCGTTTCTCCTTGCCTGTCTCCCTCCCCCAACCCTCCCCCTCGCGTACCGCCTCCAAGACACTTCCGTGGAGTCTTGTCCGCGTCTCAATACCTGCATTGTTACCGTGTCTGTACTTGGCAAGAGGCTCGGCGTCCGGGGCGTTTTTTCCCCACTAACACCCCCTTTAGTTATCACATTTCATGTTGCAAACTGCCAAATTCGACAAGATGGATTAGGGCGTCCAGGGCTTTGTGATTGTTGCCCGTCCTCGACTCCCCCCAGCTCCTTCACGGTCTAAGACAGAGTTCTAAACAAATTCTTGTAATCTCCCCAAAACATATGTTGCCCCACCCTGGCTTGACCCCTTGGGGGCTTGGTGAGCTTTGGTCGCTGACTGGATTCGTCCTATGCAAGATCGTCTTATGATTTCCGTACAACGCCATGACCAGGGCTTTTGTTCCGCCCCCCTTCTAACAAATTGCCGCCAACTCCCGCGAGCCACGGCTCTTTCTCTTCTTAACGGCGAGCAGGTCTTACGATCCTTTGCAATATATCCTAATTACTCTCCGACTGAGAAAGTTTCCGTTGAAACGAAAAAGTGCACAGGGCCATTGGCAGTTTTGCATATCCTCAGGAGAACCTCGGATCCCCTACGTGATGTTGTCGACAAAACACCGCCCGACCCCAGTGCGGATTTGCGCCACCTCCAACCACAAAACTGGCGCGTCGGGGTCGGCTGCAGCAGAATGTGCGACCATGACGTGCGACCAGCACGATGTTTCCAGTTCTACCTAGAACGTGAATAGGCCCCTTTCAATTCCAAGGCCGATACAGTCGTGGATGTGAGTTGGGAGAGCGGTGGCCTGAGCCCAGTGGCGCCGCAACCTATGCGGTCCTTGTTTTTGTAGTCATTGAGAACTCCGTGTAGAAGTTCGCAAACCCCACGCATGTTGAAGTGTTGCGGTCTTTTGTGTGGAGGGGGGCTGGCCCACGGTCAGCCAGACATGTCAGAGATCTTGCGGGTCCAGCCGCACTCCACCTGGCATTAGTAACCCCAATAAAACACGACTGGTCTCAGACACATGAAATTCAAATTTCTGCCTCACTCACACTCTTCACATAGCCGTTGTCTCCATCCCCAATCTTTTTTGCAAAACTTCGGCGCAAATGCAGTTATTTGTCTCCTGGAGGACTCTCCTCTGGAAAATCAGGGATATATCCAGATTTAGACCAAAAAACACCGATTCAACATGTCCCCGAAGGAACATTATTCAATAGTGCCTGAAAAACGCGGGGCATTGGACACCCCAAAAGGCATCACAGATACTCAAAATGTCCCCAAGGGTGTGTTGAAGGCAGTTCGCCCATTCATCCCTTTACGAATGCGACTCGGTGATAAGCCATTTTTAGCTCCAGTTGGTTAGGTAAAGATAGTGCACCATGAAGGGAGGGCGAAAGAAAAAAAAGCAGAATGAATTAAGCGGCAGAGGACAGAGAATTGTTGTTTCTTTAATGGTGATGTTGTTAAGTCCACGGAACAATCAAAAACAGTGGTTTGGGGTCTCCTATCTTCTTCCCAACCAAACAAGACCGCATCTCTACAGGTGACGGAGGAGGAACGGAAGAATAATATTATGCCGTCCAAGGAGTGCCCCGAATTGTTAAGTTATCATTATCCTCGGTCTCGGGGCCGGGAGAGATTGTCAGGCGGATGTAGGGAGAGGGGCTATGGCGGAGGGAGGTCAAGGCGCAGTGTAAGGGCCGGTGGGCAGGCAGGATAGAGACAGTAGTCTGTGTTTGCAGAATACCCGGATTTATGCCAGGTCTGTTCCAGTAGGGGATCAGCCCACCATTGAGACGATCCTGCACTCCAGTGGAGGTGAGGCACATGTGCGGGCTACAGGTTGGTCCCTGAGCAGGAACCTACAAAAACAATGTCACGACAAAATGTGCTAATAAACAATTTTACCCTCGTCAACCAATCATGTGGGGCTTGTTCGTCCCACCTAGGAGACAGGGCCTGTTCCGGCCGCTACCAGGACAGGGGGGGGGGTCTGTGGGCAGTCCTTATGGGAACTGATGTTTTTCTCCCCGCTGCATTTACCGCCACTAGAGCCAAACGCACAGTTCCTGTATAGCGTTTCTTTATACGGTTGCTCAACCTTGTCCATTTCGCCCCTCGCCTTGAGGGACGGGTCCATCGGTTCTCTAGTCCCTCTAACATTTGTTGAGCCACCTTGATCCAAAAAAGCTTATCGGCACCAGAGTCCCCACCCCAGCGCACTAATTCCCACCTTTCTTCCCGGGATAATTTGGGGACTGCAATGGCGGGATGCCTGCGGCGAGCCTGGCGGGGAGACGAGGAAGAATCTGTGCCGGTCTCACCCCCCCAATTTCCCCCTTAATGATCGCCGGCCCTTTTCCCGTGATCACTGGGAGGACCACAGGCACCACGATTCATACCTTGCCTCTCACTTTCATATACAGGCGGCCCCGAGCTCCTGACCCTACGACGTGTCCCGTCATTCTTGAGACCTCTCACCCCTCCTTTCCCCCATCTCGCACGATTTTTTCTTCCTCCCACATTCCAATGCTTCGGGTTTTCAATGTTGCCCCCTATGTAGCTCCGGGAAGACTGGCCCTACGTAGGGGGGAGAGGAGGGGAGGAGTGGTTTTGACGGGATCAGACCAGGTGATTCGGAAAATACCATCCTATCTCCCGCGGGCAGTTGACGTCTCTTTTTCACCCGCAATCCCCCCTGAGCTATCACAAACCTCTCTCCAGAGGTGAGTGTTTAAGAAGATGATCCAGCGTAGAGCGCGATCACATAGGACACATTACACCACTCAATCCGTCAAATTCGGTCCTCAGCACAAGCATTCATGATATCCTTTTGTATGTCTCGTCATTCCAAATCCCTACTGTTTCCACCGGCTTAAGTCGGAAACTCCAGCCATCTCCGCCACCCTGCGAAGAACCCTTTGCCGAAGAGAAACACACAACGTTTCGCAGCTCCTTGCCCCGTCCGCGCGGTGGTCGACCCATACCTTCCTGACATTCTCCAGCCTTTGGGGAATTGGCATAGAAAGCATTTGCAAATGTTCCCCCCCCCCTTTTTATTCCCTCTTTCTTTTCGAGGATCTTTCCCAGCACCGCGATCCCCAGGACACGAGCGGGAACCGCTAGTTTCACGATGTGTAAGGTAGGCCCTGTACGGACCTTTCGGAGGCGTAGCTCCCCCCGGGCGTAGGTGAGGGGTTTGGTGTTCTCACACCTCTTACTCACTAGAGGCACTTGAGTCAAGAATCACTCACAGTTCCAGTTTTCCCGTAATAGCGCTTGCGAGGCACGGAACAATCAATCCAGCCGCAAATCTGCTACTGGGGTGGTAGGGGCAGGAATTTAGGAAAAAAAAAGCCGGCTGCCCCATTGCAAGGGCAAGGTGCTAGATGGTATGACAGGGCCCGAGGGTGATTATGTAACAATTCGCGTGAGTCAATGGGCCAGGGATCACTGCGCACTTGGTGGTAGTTGATTTATTCCTTTTCGCTTATTTAATGCCCAAGAACGACGTTTCAGACAGAAATAGTCTTACACCCCAAGCCCTATAATGTGGCCCCAGTTAAACGTGCACTCCCGTATTTGGGATGGCGTCCGCGACTCCTGAGTGCCCCGTGGTGGATCCGAGCTACTGTCTGCTGGGTTCATGTTGGTCAGATATATGTCATGATTCAACTGGATTGCACCAACCAATGCAGCACCATCCCCGAGCCCCAGAGAAGGTTTAACAGGTTTCTTACAAAGTTCCAATTTGTCAGAGTTTCCCTTAATAGGGGAAGAGGCACGTATGGTTTATGGCGGAGGGAACAGATCCAGGTTCTTCAGAGCAGGGTGGTACCGTAAGTCCAGGCGTGGTGGTCACAAGGCAGGCGGTAGTGGAAATAGGTGTGGTCCCGGCCGGAGTGCGTGAAGCGGAGGCGGGAGTAGGTCTCAATCATTGTGTTGCCGCGGACGGTTGAACGTTGACCGGGTGCCAAGACTTCAGACGCGGTCGTTGGAGGGTATTGGACGGATGTCATTGGACGCGCGACACTCAGAAAATCGCTCGGTCCCACCGTCATAGTAATGCGATCTTTACCCCCCTGCAGTCTCATGTGCCCCGCGAAGATTCTCCTACTTACGATACGCGCCTGTCCTTTTCTTCTTTTTAGCATACTTATGGCTCGCACCACACGCGCTGCCTGACTCCCCCACTCTACCCCCCCCCCCCCCCCCCCCTCGCCCCCCCCCCTCCCCCCCCACCCCGACCCACTTTGGTGCGTTGTTTCCGAACCGATCGAGGCCCCGGCAAGCTGAACCTTTTAGTCCCTTCCTCACAGGCAGTCGGTTTTTTCTACGACACCAAAACACCCGCGCGCTCTCACAAGTTGGCGGGACACACCACCCCCTTCTACTGTGCCCAGCCCGGGCTCCAACCCACACACACTGAGAGGGCCTGGCACCAGCCGCGGGACCCTGCCCCGGTAAGTCGTGTCCCTTGTGTAAGGCGCACCGCACTCGGCATTTCGCTGTTTTTGTCGCTCGCCGGCACCAGTGACCTGCCTGGGCGCCGCGAAGACGCACATATGCTCGGCTATCACATCCCCAATGCACAATTTGGGCAGCGCCAGAGAGGCAAGCTGTCCTTCTCTTTGTTATGAACACCTGTTAAAAGCCTTGCTCTCCCCTTAGGACCCCTACGTAATCATAGAGAAGCTCCCCCACCCACACGGTTATTGCCACACCACCACCTTTTCCAACCAAAACTCAACCCAAAGAAACCCTGAATAACCTGAGAACACCCACGTGCTGTAACGCAAGCTTTTCAAACGGCGTAATTGAACTCACCTCCAAGAGGACAACAACACACCATCAAGAAAATAAAATAAACATCAAAAAAAAAAACAAGACCATAGCTCACCCCGCACACCAAAAAAAAGCCCACCCACAGGCCCAATACGAGCAAGAAGAAAAGAGATTCCAATCCCGCTGGCAATGATTATATCGGGAAAATACTTATCCAACATTATTGCCCATGATACTAGAGTAGATGCATCACCTTCCATCAATTAAGCTGTTCACAAATTGGTTGTCAAGCACACCCAAGCCTCACCTTACCTCGACAAAAAGGGAAACTGCACCCGAAAAGAACAAACTCAATGTATTTCCGTTCAAAACCATTTCAAGCCGTTTGTACCGAGTTAGAACTACGACCTCGACTCCTAGGTTCATACACTATGTAGTGACAATGAATGGGCTTATTGAAGGGTTCTCTACCATAAGGTCGTTAGTCAGCTAAGGGTGTTATAATAGCCGTAATGACAGCTTAGTCAGTGAATAACAACACACAGTTACTCATCTTCTCTCGATCTCTCTCTCTCATCTCTCTCTCTCTCTTCTCCTCTCTCTCTCTCTCTCTCTCTCTCTCCTCTCGTTCTTCTCTCTCTCTCTCTCCTCTCTCTCTTCTCCTCTCTTCCTCTCTCTCTCGCTTCTCTCTCTATATCTCTCTCGCTCTTCTCTCTCTACTCTCTCTCTCTCGTCAGCGAAGAAGCAGCAGGTGCAGGCAGTAAGTTAACGGATCATTTCCAGGGCCTTCTGAATGGGACACACAGATTCGTTGGCGGACGAGGCCTTCTGAAACGCCGTGCGCAGCTACTATGATGCAAGAGCTCACCCACCCTCACCTTCGACCATAAATGGCTAGGCGTCATTGATGCTAGGTGTGGTTTTGTTTTTTGGTTGGGAGGGTAGATCAGACTGAATATTGCAGAGAGATTGTAACTGCATCAAGGTAAGGGTAGGCAGCACGGCCAATCCCGATCGGTTGAGAGAGAGAGATAGAGAGAGAGAGAGATATATAGAGAGAGAGATAGAGAGAGATATCTATATATATATATATATACCATACATACACACCATAAGACAGAAGCTACAGTAGCAGGTAAAAATAAAAAGAAATCCCCCTGTATTACTTTCCAACCCCACCACCTTTCCCTATTGGAGTAAACTAGTGCACAACAATATAGGCCTCTACTTCCAGCGTATACTTACTAGCGACATTTTATGGACACAAGTCAATTTTACCATAAATTAGATTTGTTTGTTTTGCGCCTGAAACTTCTTCTATCTCAACCTCTCCTCTCCTAAATTTCATGATGTCCATCCGGTTGCTTCTATAGCCATACTTCTACTGTGCTCTTCACAAAGCTCCCAACCTAAAACTATATACTTATTATGGACACAGGATCGTTAACTTATTAGTTATCTTGTATTATTGTTGTTAGTTTTATAGACCCATCCTTCAATTCCATTCAACACCTCCAATCTATCTTTAACACATCCATATAGGAGTTCTATGGCATATAGATTTAAACGGTGACTGTGATGCTTACAAAAGAAATCTAACTTTCTATTCTCATTGTTTCTACAGATTGTATTGAAAAATAAACCTTTTTCCTAAAGATATTAATTATTGATCGATTACTATGACTTTTCAGATCACCCACTAATGCTATCTGCAAGGTTAGCTCCAGGTAAAATTGCAATCCTTTTAAGCCATTCCTGGACCTGTGTCCAAAAACAAGTTACAAATGGACAGTACCAAAAAAACAAAATGCGCGAAATGATTCTGTCACTTTCGCAGGCAGCAAAAGCTGCAGAGCTGGGAAGATGTATCCCCCATATAAAAACATTCTATGGGAGCAAGAATTTTATATAATAATTTAAATTGGAGATTTAAGTTTTGAATACGGTGTCGTTTGCGTATCCGTTCATAAACCACATGCCATGGGATCGGTACGTCAAAAATCTCTTCCCAACTATTTTGCGAATCTTTATGGGACGGCTGTCAATCCTTTGGTCCTAAATGAAAAAATGATTATACTTCTTTATTTATCACGTTTACTTAACCAATTATTGTTCTTTTAATGCAAGGCCGACAGACAACAAGTTCCCTTTACTTGCTCCCCCTTACTTTCCTCTTCCTTTTGCGGTAAGGAAGCAATTATTTGATTGTAATTTTGTGTTTAGAGCAGAAATTTCATCAGGTTTTGTATTGCATGTGCGACAAAACTCCAACCAGTCCTACGATGAATCATTTTGAAGCTGAGACCTTTTGTAAACATGTTTTCATATAAAAGGTTTTTGTCAATTAGTAGATTTTGAGTTAACCACAATATTGTTGCATTTTTGTTCTGTAGTTTCTGGAGGATTAAAATTGAAAATTGCACAATTTCTATGGCTGGTTTTAGAAATAGTGATATTTGGGAGATGATTTCCTTTTAAATAAAACTGAAAGTGGAGTTGTTGTATCTGAATAAGGGAAAAAGCCATTCTGAACATTGGGTGAGACAATCTACTTAATTGCTAGGAGAACCAGTTCGGATTAAGTTAACTTTGTATGACTGAAGCTTTTATGAAGTTTCTAATGTTTAATATTTAAAATTATGTCCTCCGGAATTCATATTCATTATATAAATAGGCCCGTTTTTTAATTTGTCTGGCTTGAGTTCCAAATAAAATTGATATGTTTTTCTTATAGAATTCAATAAACGGTTCGCTAGGCGTAGGCAACCATAAGCAAATAGGTAAACTGGGATAATTACTAAGAGTTAATCAGGGTGATTTTCCACAAATAATTGACAGGTTATTTACTTCCATGGTAGCAAGATCTATTATTTTGCTAACTTTCTATTAAAATTTATTGAAGTGAGATCATTTATTTCTTTGGGATATGTAGTCGGGAGTATATCCACATCACCATCAGACAATTTTATTGGTGTAAACTACATGTAATGTACATTTTTTATTTTTTTGTGACCATACGGAATATAGACATGTGTCCTAATTGGTTGTAATCCAGGAAGAGGTTAGAAAATGTATCTCGGATCCTCTATGAGGCTATGGAGGATTCTAGTTGTTGGATTTAAGAAAACATTAATCATCAGCGGACAATGACACCTTGTTTTTAAAGCTGACCTAGCAAAATTTTTCCTGCAACAACTGTCAAGAGAAGCACTCAACTACAGCAAGATTGGAAATAAAAGTTGATTAGTGGAAAACCATTGGACAAGGCTCCCACATAGGCTAACGGAGATAAGTCTGTCCACATTGTGTCAGGAGAACGCATGATGATTTAGTTTTGTTTAGTCGCAGACACAGTAACTTCATGGGAAAGACTACTCCTCTGCCTCTACATATCAATGCCCTCAGCAAAGAAAAGCTGTATTATATTTTGCTATGCAACCAAGCATTGCCTTGGACACAATAGTAATCATTAGAGAATCTCCTAACAAGAATGATAAGGACTGATGGCGTTTTTGAAATGGTTGCCTCACAGGGCTTTGGGGGTTCTATGCTGGCAATGATTTCTTCTGGGAAATACTTTATCCCACTTATTGCCATGATATAGAAGTAGATGCATCATTCCATCAATACTCTGTTAAATTGGTTGTCAAGCACCCCAAGCCTCTACCATGACTAAAAGGGAAACTGCAGAAAATACAAAATAATGTATTTCCGTTCAAAACCATTTCAAGCTTTTGTCACAGAGTAGAACTACTCTAGACTACTATTTTCCTTTCTGAATGAATTGGGCTTATTTGAAGTCTCTACCATAAGGTCTACATAAGGGTGTTATAATAGCCAGTAATGACAGCTTATGTCAGTTTATAACAACACTGTTACTGCTCTAGCTCGTTCTCTTCTCTCTCATCTCTCTCTCTCTCTCTCTCTCTCTCTCTCTTCTCTCTCTCTCTCTCTCTCTCTCTCTCTCTCTCTCTCAGCTGAATAAGCAGCAGCTGCAGGCAGTAAAGGATCATTTCCAGGCCTTCCTGAATGGGGACACACAGATCGTGGCGGACGAGGCCTTCTGCAACGCCGTGCGCAGCTACTATGAGGCAAGAGCTCACCCACCTCACCTTCGCCCCTAAAATGGCTAGCTTCCATTTGATGCTAAGGTTGTTTTTTTTTTTTTTTTTTGGGGGGGTAGATCAGCTTAATATTGCAGATAGATTGTAACTTCCATCAATGTAATTGTCTGCATCACTTCCAATCCCCTATGTTTTATATATATATATATATATATATATATATATATATATATATATATATATATATATATATATATATATATATATATATACACATACATACACACATACATACATACATATACATATCCTTAAAAATAAAAAATAAATCCCCTTTATTACTTTCCAACCCCACCACCCTTTCCCTACTTGGAGTAAACTAGTGAACAACAATACTTAGGCCTCTACTTCCAGCTTATACTTACTATCTACATTTTATGGACACAGTCAATTTTACAATAATTATATTTTGTTTGTTTTTGCTCCTGAACTTCTTCTACTCTCAACCTCTCCGATAATTTTCATGATGTCCATCCGGTTTGCTTCTATATGCCATATCTTTCTAACTGTGCTCTTTCACAAAAGCTCCCAACCTACAACCTATATACTTATTATGGACACAGTATGCTTACATTATTAGTTATCTTGTTATTATTTGTTGTTAGTTGTTATTAGACCCATCCTTCAATTCCATTCAACACCTCCCATCTATCTCTTAACACCATCCATATAGGATTTCTATTTGCCATATATATTTCAACTGTACTGTGATGTCTTACAAAAGTTCTGAACCTTTCTATTCTCATTGTTTCTACAGATTGTAAATTGAAAATAAACATTTTTCCTAAAAGTATTATTATATTATTGATCGATTGACTATGACTTTTCAGATCACCCACTAATGCTATCTGCAAGGTTAGCTCCAGGTAAATATTGCAATCCTTTAGCCATTCCTGGACCTGTGTCCAAAAACAAGTTACAAATGGACAGTACCAAAACAAATGCTCGAATGATTCTGTCACTTCGCAGCAAAATCTGCAGAGCTGGGAAGATTGTATCCCCCATATAAATAACATTCTATTGGTAGCAAGAATTTTATATAATAATTTAAATTGAAAGATTTAAGTTTTGAATACGGTGTCGTTTTGCGTATCAGTTCATAAACACTATGCCATGGGATCGGTACGTCAAAAATCTCTTCCCAACTATTTTGCAATCTTTATGGGACGGCTGTCAATCCTTTGGTCCTTAAATGAAAATGATATACTTCTTTATTTATCACAGTTTTCCTTAACCAATTATGTTCTTTAATGCAAGGCCGACAGACAAGTTCCTTACTTTCTCCCCCTTCCACTTTCCTCTTCCATTTTTGCGGTAAGGCAGCAATTATTTGATTGTAATTTTGGGTAGAGCAGACATTTCCATATGTTTTTGTTAGCTGCATGTGCGACATAACTCCACCAGTCCTACCGATGATATCATTTATGAAGATTATACCTTTTTTAAACATTTTGTCAATATAAAAAGGTTTTTGTCAATTAGTATATTTGAGTTTAACCACAATATTTGTTGCATTATTTGTTCTGTAGTTTCTGGAGGATTAAATTGAAATTGCAACCAACTTTCTATGGCTTGTTTTAGAAATAGTGATATTTGGGAGATGATTTCCTTTTCAAATAACTGAAAGTGAGTTGTTGTAATCTGAATAAAGGGAAAAAGGCCATTCTTGAACATTGGGTGAGACAATCTTACTAATTTGCTAGAGAACCAGTTCGGATTTAAGTATAACTTTTGTATGACTGAAGCTTTTAGTGATAGTTCTAATGTGTTAATATTTAATAATTTCTGTCCTCCGAATTCATATTCATTATATAAATAGGCCCGTTTAATTTTGTCTGGCTTGCCGTTCCAAATAAAATTGAATATGTTTTTCTCATATAATTTCAAAAACGGTTCGCTAGGCGTAGGCAAGACCATAAGCAAATAGGTAAACTGGGATAATACTAAAGAGTTAATCAGGGTGATTTTTCCACAAATTGACAGGTATTTACCTTTCCATGGTAGCAAGATCTTATCTATTTTTGCTAACTTTCTATTAAAATTTATTGAAGTGAGATCATTTATTTCCTTTGGGATATGTATTCGGAGTATATCCACATCACCATCAGACCATTTTATTGGTAAACTACATGGTAATGTACATTTTTTATTTTTTTGTGATCCAATACGTAATATAGTACATTTGTCATAATTTGGTTGTAATCCAGAGAGGTTAGAAAATGTATCTAGATCCTCTATGAGGCTATGGAGGGATTCTAGTTGTGGATTTAAAAGAAAACATTAATCATCAGCGTACAATGACACCTTTGTTTTTAAGCCCTGGATTTCTAATCCCCTTATATTATTGTTGGATCTGATTTTAATAGCTAATCTCGATGGCCATAATAAATAGATATGCCGATAGTGGACAACCTTGTTTCACTCCTCTTGACAGTTTAAAACTTTCTGAGAAATATCCTTGATTTACTATTTTACACCTAGGGTTACTATACATTAATTTGACTATTTTTATAAGAGATTCTCCAAAATTGAAATGCTACAGGCATTTATATATAAACACCAGTCGTACTTTACCAAATGCCTTTTCGAAGTCTGCTATGAATATCAGGCCTGGTTTCCCAGATTTTCCATAGTGTTCTATTGTTTCCAATACTTGCCTTATATTATCTCCAATGTATCTTCCATGTAAAAAACCTGTCTGATTAAAATGAATAATATCCGACAATACCTTTTTAATTCTATGCGCTATACATTTTGCTAAAATTTTTGCATCACAACACTGAAGTGTAAGGGGCCTCCAATTTTTTAAATGGACTGGATCTTTATATTTTCCACTTGTATCCTGTTTCAGTAATAATGAGATCAGACCTTCTTCTTGAGTGTCAGATAATCTACCATTTACATAGGAGTGGTTAAAACATGCTAATAACGGTCCTCTTAGTATATCAAAAAAGGTTTGGTATACCTAGACTGGTATGCCATCCAACCCTGGAGTTTTCCCGGACTTAAAGTCTTTAATTGCATCCAGAAGTTCCTCCTCTGTAATTTCACCTTCACATGAGTCTTTCTGAATGGCTGTTAATTTTACATTATCAGTAGAAAAAAAATCTCTACAATTAGCTTCAATTAGAGGAGATGGAGGTGACTGAAACGAAAACATATGCTTAAAGTACTTTGTTTCCTCCTTCAAAATATCATTTGGTGAATCATGGGTGACTCCGTCAATTGTAACCAGTTTCATTAAATTATTTTTGGTAGCATTCCTATGTTGAAGATTAAAACATAATTTTCCCCATATTCCATCCAGTTTGCTTTATTATTATAATATATTACACTTGATCCTTCTTGAATAAGTTTCTCAATTTCTTTTTGTTTTTTCTCTAATTTGTTCTGAGCCTCTATGTTACAGTTTTTATTGCCATCTATCTGTTCTGTTAGACTTTCTATTTCCTTTGTTAGTATAAGGTCTTTTGATCTAAATTGCTTTTGTTTTCGAGATGAGTACTGAATTGCATGGCCTCTAAAGGCACATTTTAAAGGTGTCCCATACAATAAGGGGATTTGCTGTCCCTACAGTGAGGGAAAAAAGTATTTGATCCCCTGCTGATTTTGTATGTTTGCCCACTGACAAAGAAATGATCAGTCTGTAATTTTAATGGTAGGTTTATTACAACAGTGAGAAACAGAATAACAAAAAGAAAATCCAGAAAAACGCATGTCAAAAATTGATTTGCATTTTAATGAGGGAAATAAGTATTTGACCCCCTCTCAATCAGAAAGATTTCTGGCTCCCAGGTGTCTTTTATACAGGTAACGAGCTGAGATTAGGAGCACACTCTTAAAGGGAGGGCTCCTAATCTCAGCTTGTTACCTGTATAAAAAGACACATGTCCACAGAAGAAATCAATCAATCAGATTCCAAACTCTCCACCATGGCCAAGACCAAAGAGCTCTCCAAGGATGTCAGGGACAAGATTGTAGACCTACACAAAGCTGGAATGGACTACAAGACCATCGCCAAGCAGCTTGGTGAGAAGGTGACAACAGTTGGTGCGATTATTTGCAAATGGAAGAAACACAAAATAACTGTCAATCTCCCTCGGCCTGGGGCTCCATGCAAGATCTCACCTCGTGGAGTTGCAATGATCATGAGAACGGTGAGGAATCAGCCCAGAACTACACGGGATGATCTTGTCAATGATCTCAAGGCAGCTGGGACCATAGTCACCAAGAAAATAATTTGTAACACACTACGCCGTGAAGGACTGAAATCCTGCAGCGCCCGCAAGGTCCCCCTGCTCAAGAAAGCACATATACAGGCCCATCTGAAGTTTGCCAATGAGAGAACTGGGTGAAAGTGTTGTGGTCAGATGAGACCAAAATCGAGCTCTTTGGCATCATCTCAACTCGCCATGTTTGGAGGAGGAGGAATGCTGCCTATGACCCCAAGAACACCATCCCCACCGTCAAACATGAAGGTGGAAACATTATGCTTTGGGGGTGTTTTTCTGCTAAGGGGACAGGACAACTTCACCGCATCAAAGGGACGATGGACGGGGCCATGTACCGTCAAATCTTGGGTGAGAACCTCCTTCCCTCATCCAGGGCATTGAAAATGAGTCGTGGATGGGTATTCCAGCATGACAATGACCCAAAACACACAGCCAAGGCAACAAAGGAGTGGCTCAAGAAGTAGCACATTAAGGTCCTGGAGTGGCCTAGCCAGTCTCCAGACCTTAATCCTATAGAAAATATGTGGAGGGAGCTGAAGGTTCGAGTTGCCAAACGTCAGGCTCGAAACCTTAATGACTTGGAGAAGATCTGCAAAGAGGAGTGGGACAAAATCCCTCCTGAGATGTGTGCAAACCTGGTGGCCAACTACAAGAAACGTCTGACCTCTGTGATTGCCAACAAGGGTTTTGCCACCAAGTACTAAGTCATGTTTTGCAGAGGGGTCAAATACTTATTTCCCTTATTAAAATGCAAATCAATTCATAACATTTTTGACATGCATTTTTCTGGATTTATTTGTTATTATTCTGTCTCTCACTGTTCAAATAAACCTACCATTAAAATTATAGACTGATCATGTCTTTGTCAGTGGGCAAACGTACAAAATCAGCAGGGGATACTTTTTTCCCTCACTGTACATCGTTTTATTGTTTAATTTCTTGATTTACGTGGGTTCCATATTACGTTTTTCGGTATGTTATATCAAGCTTGATCATTTTCATGTTTGTGTCTACTGTACATACAGTGCGATGCAAAAAATAACTGTTTCCCAGAGATGCAGCACCGAGATTATACTCTAGGGTCATGGCACATTGAGGGTCATTGGTAAATTTATCAGGAACTATAACAAAGTGCAATGACGGTAACCAACTGCATTAATTAGCTACATTACCTTAGCAGTGCTACATTATTTGTATTTACTTCCGGGTCCTTATGATCCCTGGTTTCCACTTGCACAGGGGTTCCTGAAGAGCGAGCGGGTGTCCAGGATGGTGCAGAGTGGCGGCTGCTCGGCCTTCGACTTCCGTGACGTCTTCAAAAAGGACATTGAGCGGCGGGTGCGCAGCTTGCCTAAAATCGATGGCCTGAGCAAAGAGACAGTGCTGAGCTCTTGGATCGCCAAGTATGACACCATCTACAGGGGGGATGAGGACCTGCGGCGCCAGCCCCAGAGGATGCCCCTCAGTGCCGTGTCCGAGATGATCCTAAGCAAGGAGCAACTGTACGAGATGTTCCAGCAGATTCTGGGCATCAAGAAGTTTGAGCACCAGCTGCTGTACAACGCCTGTCAGGTGAGCGATGGACCATATGCACAAACACACACTTTTTTGCCCTCTACGTTTTTATTGTTATCTATTTCTTGATTGTTTGTGGTGTTGCCTAGGTAACCACACAATTATTCATGCAAGGATACATTGTATAATCACAATGCAATGCGCCCAATGGCCAAGTAGTATACTAGTGGGGATATTGGAATCAATTGTCCTTTAATCACCAGCTAATCACAGGTCTCTTTGAAGACATCTCTTTATGGTCAGGGGCTGATGAGACTTTTTAATCAGAGTGCTCTCCCTCACCATGGCCCTGTCAACTAAGGCAGGGGTGTCTTCCCTCCCCCTTTACCTTTTACCAGGGGGTCTTCCATTGCCCCCAATTAGTAGTAAGAGATGGCTGTAACTAGTTGGCGTATGTTGGTGTGATCAGTGGTTACAGTCATTTGTAAACTGTAAACGATTTGGGCTTATTCATCTGAAGGGTATTTTGAAATGCATGCCATTGTTACAAGTACTGGGAGAAGTAAAGGCTCTTTTGACCAAAAAATGGGCTCTAAGCAGAGGAATCATTAAATGACTTCAATCCCAACTTCCTAGCTAATTAATGAATAGTAAGTTTGTTCTCAAGATTATTGCAAAGAAGGCTGTGCTAATGCTTTGTTTATTTTTAGGTTTACATTTCAGGCTTACATTTATATTATTGAGCAATTCCAATATGTATATATTATTATTTGTATTATTGTTTAATACATTTCTCCTTTTTACCTGTACTGTTAGAGCTTAAGATTTGCACTGTACCCTGCAATTACATCTGCGACCCTGTGCTAATAAACTCTTCTAAAAAACATCAACAACAGAGTGACACTGAGATTCAGATTGTTCACGTTAAAATGTATGTCTTCAAAAATCAATGATTGCAAAGTTAAACAAACCATACAACTCTATGCACAAGCACTACTTTTAACAATTTCCACTGCAAATGTTACAAAAACACATTTACTTGAAAAACAGTGCCGATGCAAAGTTTGGTAACATAATGATGGCACAAACAGCACAAACTGTCATTCTGTGAGTGACATACAATACATTTTAAAGTGAAAAATCTCAGTGTCACTTGTTACCGTGGAATTGCCTATTACATTATCACCCATACATAATGTGCTGTGAAGAACTTTATTAGACCTGATAAAGAATATATGTCACTATCAGTGTCGATCTGCAGTGAAATGTGAATTGAAATGTTGTTTTACAGTTCCTCCCGTAAATTAGATGTAGTCCTTTTCTTGTCAGTTCTAATGGCTTTAAAGGCTGATAGTGTTCCCACTTGTAATACTTTGAATGATTTCAAATAATGAGACCTGCAGACACTAGACCTTGGGTGATGACAATCAGCTAATCTCCATAGCCCCCTTCTTTCTTTTGGCTATTCACCTATTTTATTTTTGCTGGACAGTCAGCACATACAAGTGCTTGTGAGAGCAGGTCTTGGATCAGTTTTGTGTATTCCACTAATGGTTAGCAGATAGAGACTCTTGAAGGATGAATTGGGGTATACTTCTCCAAAACACAATCTCATGGCTGAGGGACTTATGGCTTGAAATTGGCTGAGGGACTTAGAGAATGTGAAATGAGAGAGAGAGAGAAAGAGAGAGAGAATGATTTATCAAGTCACGTTTCGAGGGAGATGCAACTGTGTGTGTGTGTATCTAAGGAGGGGAATGCTGATGCGCTCAATCCCTGGCAGGGAGGGTTTGAGAGGTGTGGGGGCATATTAAATCCAATCTAATTTGAATTGTCACATGCTTCGTAAACAATCATCACCAATGGATAGGCTAAAATCATCACTGAACGGCAAACAAACGGCATCACTATAGTCTCTAGGCCATACCGAGTTCAACGAGGTGCCCCACTTGGCCGTAGCTCTCTCGGTCTGACCGCAGCGACTGTGCAAGAAGGCCAAAAATGAAGCCTGACCTACATTTTAGGTGTCTTCGGGTGACAGCGGCAGAACCGTTGAGTCTAGAAACACAATTCAACCACAGGACAGTTCCCAAGGTCCTCCCGATCTGCTCAAGCCTACCCTTGACCATGTGGAATTAACCCTTAACAGTGAAAACAGGGTGTATTTCATCTTAGAGTTGACCTTGACTTCTATTCCCATAGGAATACATTGCCTGCTGCCCTAAATTCAACCTGATGCCTATGTGGGTTATGATTGCCATATCAAACTGTCTTCAACGACAACCCATCAGGCCACTATAAGGATACCTGTGTTGATTTTAAGCTTCCTGGAGCAACCGGAAGTGGTTAAATTGACCCTAAACAACAATGCATTCAACCCTCTGTAAATCAGTCAGACTTGAAACTCAGGATTCTGTAAATGTGTGTCCCAAGGAGGATATATATGTTTACTTTCAGCTTCCTGTGACATCCGGAAGTGCCTTAAATTGGGGTCATAGTGGCTGTTTCGAGGGGGTGAAAAAGGTCACATCTTTCCAAAATGTCATATGTGTGATTAGGCAACCATCATGAACTGTAAATCAGTCAGTTCTCCAATCAGACCTCCAAGAAAAAACTCACACAGCTAAGATGGAGTGACACAGTGTGTCTCCCTTAGGATAACATTGGTTTACAGGGTATGCTCTAACTCTGCTTCCGTGCATGCAATTTGCAAAGTTCCTTTTGCCACATGTTCAGGGTCACCGGTAGCTCTACAGATATCAATATAAATAGAGTACATGGTCCCCTTCATATCATAAACTGAAAGTATGAACTTGCAATATATCTTATGGCAAATGCCATTGTAACATTTTGCAATTGGACAGCAATCAAGTCAGCCATCTCATTGCTTAAAATCATCATAAACAGTCAAAGGACAGCACATTTGAATTGTATTTGTAAAGTAGAGTGTCCCAGTAGTGTACTTTATTAGTTTAAACCCTTTAACTGCATGTCCAATTTGTGATGGTAAATGCCCATTGTAATATATTGCTAATGGACAGTGTCCATTTCCAATATGTTTAAACAGGGATTTACCATCACCAAATAGACAGGCTGAAATCAACACCAACGAGCAAGGGAGAAGAACCACTATCACTGCTAGGCCGTTCCGAGTTCGACAAGGTGCCCCACTTGACCGTAGCTCGCTCGGTCTGACCGCAGATGTTAAATGCCCATTGTAATATATTGCTAATGGACAGTGGAGGAGGAGGAATGCTGCCTATGACCCCAAGAACACCATCCCCACCGTCAAACATGGAGGTGGAAACATTATGCTTTGGGGGTGTTTTTCTGCTAAGGGGACAGGACAACTTCACCGCATCAAAGGGACGATGGACGGGGCCATGTACCATCAAATCTTGGGTGAGAACCTCCTTCCCTCAGCCAGGGCATTGAAAATGGGTTGTGGATGGGTATTCCAGCATGACAATGACCCAAAACACATGGCCAAGGCAACAAAGGAGTGGCTCAAGAAGAAGCACATGAAGGTCCTGGAGTGGCCTAGCCAGTCTCCAGACCTTAATCCCATAGAAAATATGTGGAGGGAGCTGAAGGTTCGAGTTGCCAAACGTCAGCCTCGAAACCTTAATGACTTGGAGAAGATCTGCAAAGAGGAGTGGGACAAAATCCCTCCTGAGATGTGTGCCAACCTGGTGGCCAACTACAAGAAGCGTCTGATCTCTGTGATTGTCAACAAGGGTTTTGCCACCAAGTACTAAGTCATGTTTTGGCCTGCTGGCCTGCTGGCCCCCCTACCTCTGCGGAAGCACAGTTCCCGCTCAGCCCAGTCAAAACTGTTCGCTGCTCTGGCACCCCAATGGTGGAACAAGCTCCCTCACGATGCCAGGACAGCGGAGTCACTCACCACCTTCCAGAGACACTTGAAACCACACCTCTTTAAGGAATACCTGGGATAGGATGAAGTAATCCTTCTACCACCCCCCCCCTACCCCACCCCCCAAAAAATAAAAAATAAAAATAAAAACATATTGTAAAGTGGTTATCCCACTGGCTATAAGGTGAATGCACCAATTTGTAAGTCACTCTGGATAAGAGCGTCTGCTAAATGACGTAAATGTAAATGTAATGTTTTGCAGAGGGGTCAAATACTTATTTCCCTCATTAAAATGCAAATCAATTTATAACATTTTTGACATGCGTTTTTCTGGATTTTTTTGTTGTTATTCTGTCTCTCACTGTTCAAATAAACCTACCATTAAAATGATAGACTGATCATGTCTTTGTCAGTGGGCAAACGTACAAAATCAGCAGGGGATCAAATACTTTTTTCCCTCACTGTATGTCTGTTTTACTCTGCTAATTGGACAGTCCATTACACATAATACATGCCAGTCTTAACATGTTATACTGCAATTGGACAGTGTCCATTGCCAATGTATATAAATAAGGACTTCCCATTACGAAATGGACATGCTGAAATGAACACCAACAAGAAATTCTGATTTCCTATGACTTCCTATGATCAAACATGACAAATAGACCTTCTCGGTTGATTCAGGACTTAACATACTGATATATACCATTTGGTCATTATATAGGCCATTTGGACATGGTTCACTGACTTTTGGATTCGGAACCCGACTTCCTGTGATCATATATGGCAAATGGACATAACATCCTGCTTTAGTACTTTCAATACTTACATATGCCATTTCGACATTTCATATGCCATTTGGACATTATATATGCCATTTGGACATGGTTCTGTGACTTTCGGGTTCGGAACCCGACTTCCTATGATCATATGTGAGAGGTGGACACTTTGCCCATTTGGAGTATAATATGTGACAAGTTGACATTTTGACTACTTGCAGTATAATATGCCTGATATGGATATAACATAGATCTTATGGACAAACCCGTATAAAATAAGACAAATCTATATCCATACGGTTCTTTAATAATGTATAATTGAAACAAAATCTGAGCTTTACACACTCTTGACATTCTCTCAACCAGCTTCATGAGGAATGCTTTTCCAACAGTCTTGAAGGAGTTCCCCCATATGCTGTTGGCTGCTTTTCCTTCACTCTGCGGTCCAACTCATCCCAAACCATCTCAATTGGGTTGAGGTCGGGTGATTGTGGAGGCCAGATCATCTGATGCAGCACTCCATCACTCTCCTTCTTGGTCAAATAGCCCTAACACAGCCTGGAGGTGTGTTGTGTCATTGTCCTGTTGAAAAACAAATGATAGTCCCACTGTGCAAACCAGATAGGATGGCGTATCGCTGCAGAATGCTGTGGTAGCCATGCTGGTTAAGTGTGCCTTGAATTCTAAATAAATCACACATTGTCACCAGCAAAGCACCTCCACACCATCACACCTCCTCCTCCATGCTTCACGGTGGGAACCAAACATGCTGAGATCATCCGTTAACCAACTCTGCGTCTCACAAAGACACGGCGGCTGGAACCAAAAATCTCAAATTTGGACTCATCAGGCCAAAGGACAGATTTACACCGGTCTAATGTCCATTGCTCGTGTTTCTTGGCCCAAGCAAGTCTCTTTTTCTTATTGGTGTTAGTAGTGGTTTCTTTTTAGCAATTCGACCATGAAGGCCTGATTCACGCAGTCTCCTCTGAACAGTTGATGTTGAGATTTGTCTGTTACTTGAACTCTGTGAAGCATTTATTTGGGCTGCAATTTCTGAGGCTGGTATCTCTAATGAACGTATCCTCTGCAGCAGAGGTAACTCTGGGTCATCCTTTCCTGTGGCGGTCCTCATGAGAGCCAGTTTCATCATAGTGCTTCATGGTTTTTGCGACTGCTCTTGAAGAAACTTCTTGAAATGTTCCATATTGTCTGACCTTCATGTCTTAAAGTAATGATGGACTGTAATTTCTCTTTGCTTATTTGAGCTGTTCTTGCCATAATATGGACTTGGTCTTTTACCAAATAGGGCTATCTTCTGTATAGGTCTATCTTCCCCCCACACCTTGTCACAACACAACTGATTGGCTCAAATGCATTAAGATGGAAAGAAATTCCACAAATTAACTTTTAACAAGGCACACCTGTTAACTGAAATGCATTCCAGATGACTACCTCATGAAGGTGGTTGAGAGAATGCCAAAAGTGTGCAAAGCTGTCATCAGCTTTTTTGGTTACTACATGATTCCATATGTTTTATTTCATAGTTTTGCTGTCTTCACTATTGTTCTACAATGTAAAAAATAGTAAAAAAATAAATACAAATCCTGGAATGAGTAGGTGTGTCCAAACTTTTGACTGGTACTGTACATGGGGTACCAGTACCTCGTTGATGTGCAGGGGTACGAGGAAATTGAGGTAGATATAGTTAGGGGTAAAGTGACTAGGCAAAAGGATAGATAATAGACAGTAGCAGCAGCGTATGTGATGACTGTGTAAGTGTGTGTGTGGCGAATGTGTGCTGGTGTGTACGTGTTATGTGTGAGTGTGTGTATGTGTTGGAGTGTCAGTGTCAGTGTGAGTGTGTGGGTAGAGTCCAGTGTGTGTCATAGAGTCAAAAATAGTTAGTGCAAAAAGGGTCAATGCAGATAGCCAAATAGCTATTTATTTAACTATACTGAACAAAAATATAAACGCAACATGCAACAATTTCAAATTGACTGAGTTACAGTTCATATAAGGAAATCAGTCAATTGAAATCAATTCATTAGGTCCTAATCTACGGATTTCACATGACTGGGAATACAGATATGAATCCGTTGGTCACAGATACCTTAAAAGAAATCTATCAGAAAACCAGTCAGTATCTGGTGTGACCACCATTTGCCTCATGCAGCGCGACAAATCTCCTTCGCATAGAGTTGATGAGGCTGTTGATGGTGGCCAGTGGCCACTCCTTTTCAATGGCTGTGCAAAGTTTCTGGATATTGGTGGGAACTGGAACACGCTGTCGTGGGTGACATGTCTGGTGAGTATGCAGGACATGGAAGAACTGGGACATTTTCACCTTCTAGGAATTGTGTACAGGTCCTTGCGACATGGGGCAGTGGATTATCATCCTGAAACATGAGGTGATGGTGGCGGAAGAATGGCACGACAATGGGCCTCAGGATCTCGTCACGGTATCTCAGTGCATTCAAATTGTCATCGATAAAATGCAATTGTGTTCGTTGTCCGTAGCTTATGCCTGCCCATACCATAACCCCACCACCACCATGGGGCACTGTGTTCACAATGTTGACATCAGAAAACCGCTCGCCCACACAACGCTATACACGTGGTCTGCGGATGTGAGGCTGGTTGGATGTACTGCCAAAGGCAGTTTATGGTAGAGAAATGAACATTCAATTCTCTGGCAACAACTCTGGTGGACATTCCTGCAGTCAGCATGCCAATTGTACGCTCCCTCAAAACTTGAGACATCTGTGGGATTGTGTTGTGTGACAAAACTGCACATTTTAGAGTGGCCTTTTATTGTCCCCAGCAAGGTGCACCTGTTTAATGATCATGCTGTTTAATCAGCTTCTTGATATGCCACACCTGTCAGGTGGATGGATTATCTCTTGGTAAAGGAGAAATGCTCACTAACAGGGATGTAAACAAGTGTGTGCACAGCATTTGAGAGAAATAAGCTTTTTGTGCTCATGGAAAATGTCTGGGATCTTTTATTTCAGCTCATGAAACATGGGACCAACACATTGCTAAATACACTGAACAAAAACATAAACGCAATCTTATTGCTTAGGGGTAGAAGCTGTTCAGGAACCTTTTGGTCCCAGATTTAGCGCTCCGGTACCGTTTGCCGTGCGGTAGCAGAGAGAACAGTCTATGACTTGGGTGGCTGGAGTATTTGACAAAATGTCCCGTTGATAGGATAGTCTCGAACGAAGCTTGTCAAGTTTAGAACAGAGGGTAGAGGTGGTTTATTTACTCGTCACCACAGTCTTCGTCCAGATCGAGGTGAGTGGTTGCTGTTCTGATGTCCAGAAGCTTTTTATGATCTGCACAAAAAAAAAAAAAAAATTGCAGATTTGGTTATGAGCCTGTAAAACGCTGGCTATGCATCCTAGCGTCATCTTAGACTCATCACAGCTATTTCTGGATGCCTCTCTCTGGATCAATGCTCTGTATAGAGACCCATTGATTAGGCTCTCCCAGCTATTGATCTGGCAACCCTGCATTAATAGGCCCCGTGTAGCTCAGTTGGTAGAGCATGGCGCTTGCAACGGCAGCATTGTGGGTTCGATTCCCACGGGGGGCCAGTATGAAAATGAATGCACTCACTAACTGTAAGTCGCTCTGGATAAGAGCATCTGCTAAATGACTAAAATGTAAAATGAAATGGCGCAAGAGAGGCGAGAGCTCTAATGTGTTTGGAATGGGCAGAGATTGGTCTGGGTGACAATAACCTGATTAAGGATTTGATAAGGGTGTGAGGGATTGTTTGTACATTCTATCATACGATCGATTTGTTTGACTGCCTTTGATTGATCCTCTTTCTCTCGCATGCTCTCTCTCTCACTCTCTCTCATAGGCTTTCCTTCCCTCCATATTCACACATTCATTCATGAGTCATTCCGTTTATACGCAAGTCTATTTTTTGAGTGTTTTGCACAAGCTGTATGAAGACTGAAGTGCCAATAGTATCCCTGAGATACTGAACCTCTGGTGTGTCTCAGTAATAATCTAAAGCCAGAGAGGGACCTCAATAAAGAAAATGACGTAAACCATAAGGACAGTGAAAAAGACAGTGGAGTGAAAGAAAGAAATGGAGGGAGAGAGAGGGGGAGAAACAAAGGGATGAGATTGCTCAGGTGTGCAGGTGGAGGACTGTAGCTGCTCTGAGTGGGTGGCATCCCCTGGTGAAGTGACAGACAGCAGGCAGACGTGTGTGTGTGTGTGTGTGTGTGTGTGTGTGTGTGTGTGTGTGTTTGTGTGTGTGAGAGGGAGGGAGGGAGGAACTGTGTGAGAGAGAGGGGGGGTATGTGAGAGAGTGTGTGTGAGCATATAGCTTGACATTTTTCCCCTCAATCTCTAATAATCACATCCTGGTGTTCAGCCGTGTTCACCACTGTCGTCTCTCGTTAGTGGTCGGAGGCAGAGGTGAGGCGAGGCGGGCGAGTAGGTGAGCTGGCAGGAAAGACTAATAAATTATCACACGGCGCAAAGCGCTGGCTCGCCTAGACAGCCGCCGCTAGTCAGCTCTCATATTGAGCTCTCTCTCTCTCTCTCTCTCTCTCTCTCTCTCTCTCTCTCTCTCTCTCTCTCTCTCCCATATCTCACTCTCCCCTCTTTCTCTCCCTGTGCCTCTCAGGCACCAGGAAGCTGCCCAGACAGACATACAGCCAGCCAACGTAATCAAACCCAGAGTAATCTCCAAAGCCTTCCTCCATCAAAGCCCTTGGCTTAACTCCCTTTTCCTCCAGTCCGCTTTTTGAGTTCAGGGTTCAGAAAGTACCTTCAGAGACAGGATTGGTATCCCCGGCCGAATATGATTTAAAGACGGGACCTCAGGACCGTTACCAGGATTGTTAATTTCCGTGGAGTATCTGCTGAGTCCTTGACAGAAGGGATCAAAAGTTTAGATGTGTCGACGTCAAACCTGTTTGATGGCTTTGATTAATAGCTTCATATGCCTTGTTGTCATATAAATTATGCAAATTAGAAATGCTGTGTAAAAGGAGAAAAGTAATGGGAGCAATTCAACAAGAATAAATAAAGCTGAAGTGTGTGTACAGATGTAGGATCTTAATTTGATCACTTTTTTGCTGAGAATTTTCCTGCACCATAGGAATGCAGATGAGCTTCATGATTTACATAGATTCACGGAAAACCTGCACTAAGACAAGGTGATATTAACAGTATTGCACTTTTTTCATATAGGCTATTTTGGCCAGTTAATAGCCTAACCACAGATCAAGCAACATTATGGATTAAACGTACAAATCCTGTTGCTGCAGGATTATTTTGCTGCGAGAATACTGGTCAAATTAAAGATCTAACATCTGTATTATAAATGTTTTATTTAACTTTGATTTATTTAGGGGAACCCATTGAGACCAGGGTCTCATTTACAATGATGCCCTGAGGACAACAATACAACACAATAATCAATACAAATAAAATAAACTACAAATTTCAGAATCAACACTACAGTCGTGGTCAAAAGTTTTGAGAATGACACAAATATTGGTCTTCACAAAGTTTGCTGCTTCAGTGTTATGAGATATTTTTGTCAGATGTTACTATGGTATACTGAAGTATAATTACAAGCATTCCATAAGTGTCAAAGGCTTTTTATTGACAATTACATTAAGTTTATGCAAAGAGTCAATATTTGCAGTGTTGACCCTTCTTTTTCAAGACCTCTGCAATCCGCCCTGGCATGCTGTCAATTAACTTCTGGGCCACATCCTGACTGATGGCAGCCCATTCTTGCATAATCAATGCTTGGAGTTTGTCAGAATTTGTGGGTTTTTGTTTGTCCACCCGCCTCTTGAGGATCAACCACAAGTTCTCAATGGGATTAAGGTCTAGGGAGTTTCCTGGCCATGGACCCAGAATTTTGATGTTTTGTTCCCTGAGCCACTTAGTTATCACTTTTGCCTTATGGCAAGGTGCTCCATCATGCTGGAAAAGGCATTGGTCGTCACCAACCTGTTCTTGGATGGTTGGGAGAAGTTGCTCTCAGAGGATGTGTTGGTACCATTCTTTATTCATGGCTGCATTCTTATCCTTGGCTGAGAAACAACCCCACACATGAATGGTCTCAGGATGCTTTACTGTTGGCATGACACAGGACTGATGGTAGCGCTCACCTTGTCTTCTCCGTACAAGGTGTTTTCCGGATGCCCCAAACAATCAGAAAGGGGATTCATCAGAGAAAATGACTTTACCCCAGTCCTCAGCAGTCCAATCCCTGTACCTTTTGCAGAATATCAGTCTGTCCCTGATGTTTTTTCTGGAGAGAAGTGGCTTCTTTGCTACCCTTCTTGACACCAGGCCATCCTCCAAAAGTCTTTGCCTCACTGTGCGTGCAGATGCACTCACACCTGCCTGCTGCCATTCCTGAGCAAGCTCTGCACTGGTGGTGCCCCGATCCCGCAGCTGAATCAACTTTAGGAGACGGTCCTGGCGCTTGCTGGACTTTCTTGGGCACCCTGACGCCTTCTTCACAACAATTGAACCTCTCTCCAAGAAGTTCTTGATGATCAGAAAAATTGTTGATTTAGGTGCAATCTTTACTAGCAGCAATATCCTTGCCTGTGAAGCCCTTTTTGTGCAAAGCAATGATGACGGCACGTGTTTCCTTGCAGGTAACCATGGTTAACAGAGGAAGAACAATGATGTCAAGCACCACCCTCCTTTTAAAGCTTCCAGTCTGTTATTCTAACTCAATCAGCATGACAGAGTGATCTCCAGCCTTGTCCTTGTCAACACTCTCACCTGTGTTAACAAGATAATCACTGACATGATGGCAGCTGGTCTTTTTGTGGCAGGGCTGAAATGCAGTGGAAATGTTTTAGGGGGATTAAGTTCATTTTCATGGCAAAGAGGGACTTTGCAATTGATTGCAATTCATCTGATCACTCTTCATGACATTCTGGAGTATATGCAAATTGCCATCATCAAAACTGAGGCAGCAGACTTTGTGAAAATTAGTTTTTGTGTCATTCTTAAAACTTTTGACCACGTCTGTACAGCTTCAAACACCACAAATACAATTATTTACATTCAATCCAAAGAGTTGCAATTCTCATGAAATTAATTCAACATTAAAATCCTAGACTGCCCTAGAGGCACCTGAGTCTAGATGTACAGTTTTGCAGGCTATTCCAAAAATGTGGGGCACTAAATGTGAAGGCGGATTTAACTAGATCAGTACGTACTAGTGGAACCTCGAGCGTTAACCATCCCTGTTAACGGGTTTGGTGTCTCATATTTTCTTTATTTTAACAGTGAAGTTAGGTAGGTCAGAAGCTTGTATAGTAGAGCTTTGTAAACAAAAAGGGAGTAATGAAGTGATCTACGGGGCTTTAATTAGGACCAGCCAACCTTTTAATACAGGATGGAGTGATGTGTATTAAACTGTGATAAAGCGAAGGGCGCTATGGTAGACGGCATCCAAAGGTTGCTGCATTCCGTGTCACCATAGTTAAGAACTGGCAGGAAAGTTGACTGTACAATCTGCATCCTGCTGTTTAGGGAGAGGCATTATCTATTTCTATAAAATGAGCCTACTTTGAATCTCAGCTTCTTAACTAGCTCATCCGTATGTTTTTTAAACGTCAAACTATTGTCAATCCAAAAGCCCAGATATTTATGTGTGTGAACCTGCTCGATGAAAGAACCATCCAATGCATACATGTGTAAGCCTTCTGAAATATTCCTAAGAGAATTAGAAAACAGCATACATTTAGTTTTTCCAGCATTAAGTACAAATGTTTAATCAACAAGGACTTTCTGCAAGGCAACAAAATCAGATTGCCGCTCCAATAAAGCCTGATCAGCCTTAGAGGCAATAGCGTACACAACAGTGTCAGCTGCATACAGATGAATTTCACAGGTTTTTGCAGATAGACCAATATTATTTATATAATGCGGGACACCTTTAGTAATATTGAGGGAACTTGACTTGACACTGTCAGAAAGCGCACATTGTGCCCAGTCTGACAAATAGTTCCCAAACCACTTGCAAGATGCCTAGTCGAGGCCCATTTCAGACAACCTTTGAATGAGTAGAGGATGGTCGACAGTATCAAAGGCCTTGGATAGCTCTATAAACATGGCAGCACAATGATTCCTATGATCTAAGCAATTTAATATATAATTTAAGACAAGCTGCTGAAACTGTGCTATGTCCAGGTCTAAAACCAGACTAGTACACATTAAGAATATAATTTGAAGTTTAAAAAGTTATTAGTTGAGAGTTTGCCAGTGATTCTAGTATTTTTGCAAGGCAAGAAATTGGGCAGTAGTTATCTAGGTCAGAAGGATCTCAACCTTTTTAAAGGGGGAGGACATGCGCCGCCTTCCAGATCTTAAGGATTGCACCGGAAGCAATTGTTAAATACAAAATGTGGGTCAAAGTTTCAGTAGAAAGGGATCAAGCGCATGAACTCCTGTGGATTAAGTACCTTTTAAATGCCTTTTTTTGCAAGGCACTTAATACATAATTGACATAAAATAGTAAAATTAAAAATGTAAAAGTTAATGCCTGGAACTGCATTATTCTCTGCTATCTGTTTATAGGTGAATAAAGGACTCCCTCTAGTGGAACTTGAGGTATTTTCAGAAACCATTCTTTTAAATAGATGGCCAGCTGAGGCAAAATGTGACTTGTTTCAGGAAACTAGGCATATGTCACACGTCACTACTTCACAGGAGAGGCATTTAAACGTAAACAACAAACTTAAATAACAAACTTGTATGCCATCTGTAAATACAAATACATTTTTTACATTACGAGCCTAGTTCGTTGTCTGGGGTTGATTACGGTCATCTATTGTATTTCATGAACCTGTTTACATGTCTAGACAATAGTGACCCATCCACTTAGCTAGATGTGGCTGGGGGGTGGTTATAGCGTTTCTTTCACATGACCCATCAATTTAGACAAGTGTGTCCGAGTAAGAATCATCTAATAATTATAAAATTTATAAAATATTTATCTGGACACTTTCTATTTTTGATATTGCTACTATGCAAATATGCAAGTAACCATTTCACGGTACCATTTACAACTTCTGTATCCTGTGCATGTGACAAATACACTTAGATTTTACTTGATATAGTGTGTGTTTACCAGAGACGGTAATGTGATGAACAACATGACCTGCACCAAAGTCAGAGGATTTAGGCCAAGGACTAGATAAAGTGTATTTTTGCTACTACTTTCACCACTTTTAGTCTTGAAATCTTTGGTTGTTTACAACACTACCTTACTCACTCTGTTTAGCACATGGCCTCACATGTGAATCCTTAAAGAGATGGGTGGAGCTAAGGCTTAAGAGGGTGTGAACTATGCTGAATGGGTGTAGACAAAGAAGAGCTCTCCAGTAGGTGTACCAAAACATTCAAGGGCCAATTTCTCAAAAGTGGGGTTACAAGTTTATCAACTTTCAAAGCAGAATTACTTTCCCATTGTTCCTCAACTGCAGTGTATGATATACCATTTTCTAGCTCTGAGTCTCTACTTTTATCCAATGTAAAAAACAACATTTCACATTTTGCTACAAAGGACCGAATCGAGCCAGTCGGTCACAAATGGTTATTAAAAGCACCACAAATGTCATTTTAGTCTGTTATGTGGCTGTCATAACCTGCTGGGGCAATGAGGGGGTGGAGTTTTTTTTCTCCAAAGATTTCAGCATTTTCCAGAATTTAGCTAGATTTCCACCACTTTCAGATACACAATTCAAGAAGTTTGTTGACTTTGCTTTTCTAACCAGAGTAAGACATCTATTTCTCAATTGTCTGGAGGACTGCCAGTCAGAGGTAGAATCAGTCAATCCAGCCTTAGCCCAAGCTAAGTT